GTTTACTAATATTATTATTATTATTATTTTTGTAATTACTCAAGCCTTAGAGAGAAAACAGCAGCTGTATGGAACAAGTAAAAGTATTGGATTTCCAGAAAGTTTATATTTCACTTTTAAATTCAGAAGTTAAAAACTGCAGATTGATTATAGTCTTAGAAGTACTGACTGTGCAACTTCCACATTTAGAGTCGCCATTCTGTCTAGAGGGGAAAGGATTAAATGGCTGTGCCGTGAGTTATAAAGTACAAGATCTCTGCAACATGAGAAAGTGGTAATCTGTGTTTGCAGGTTGTTGTTATCACTTCATGAAACTGCAAAATATTAATGCAGAGGTGCTTTTCTATAACAGATTCAGAAGTACTTCATAAAATTCAGAGAGCTAAATCCGATAATAATCTAGGTCTCTGTTTCATAGTTAAGGAAACAAAGATAAGATAAAACCATAATTTACCAAAAGACACATCTACAAGGTCAAGATGGAGTAAGATTTCAGATAATTTGGTTTCCTGTCTCAAGAATACAATTTGCTCATTCTTATACTTAAAAACATTTACTAGAAACATTGCCAAAACTATTAATAATGAGTTTTGAAAATCAGTTTTAATGAGACCATAGTTTTAAAGAGAAAGGCCAGAGTAAAGAGTTTCATTAGCTGCAGATGATTTCAGTTAAGCAATACAATCCCTACACTATCATTTCCATATAACATAAATGACTCATGGAGAATCAGCACAGTTACAGCCCTCGGTGAATGCTGAGAAAAGGGAGAAACAAAAGATTCAATGCAGTGCATGAGAACATCTCACATCAGGTCATTCTTCTGGAAAAAATGGTGTCTTGTGTAAAATGCAAGCAGTGTCTGAATTGAACCACAGTCTACATATTGTAGTACCGATAAATAAAATCCACCAAAGCCTGAATATCTATTCTGTCTTTATAGCCACCTGTGACTACATGAGTTTTTCCTGTTACTTTTCAAGGAATGCCCAAATGCCACATTAACTGACACATGTGAGCAGTCATTTTACATTGGAAACATTCCCTGAATGTTCCCCAAATAGAAGAAATAAGAAATTACTTCATATTCATAGTCATTTAATTTCTTCTATTTCCTATGAGAAAAAAGCATATGCTAAGATCCAAAAGACATGTAACTATAGTTATTGATACTATCTGAGATGTTTTATTCGCAACATTAAGAACAGAGACAAACTCAAACATCAGCTTTCATTCAACTGGAATTCTACCTTGTCTCTAGACAATTTGGTGTACTACAACTCTGAGCAGTAGATCCAACACAAGGTTTTTCATAGTATCCAGCTGAACTGACATACTCTCCTACTTGTAGCTACTCAGTCTCTCCCAAAATCTTGTCCATTTTTAGTGACATGGTGGCTTGACCCAGAACCACCAAAATCATCCATACCACAGTATTATATTGGTGCTTTTCTATCCATCTTTATGTTTGGACAATAAATGGAGTTAAAAGCTAGAACTACATTAATTTCCAGTCTTAAGAATAATGATATCTATTACGGTGGACAACCACATCCACTAGGTGTGTGGACTGACAAGCTATGCATTGTTAGACTGTATTAATTAGACAGAAGCCAAAACTCATTGATCCATCTATGAATATTCATTAATTCAGCCTTTTAAAATTCTTGTTGAAAAATTTAAAGGAGAGTCTACTAAAAAAGGAATAATTAAAACATCCTCAGTAAAAAGAGCACAAAGTTGTGTATTTAAATAGATATAGGGAACTCTTCTTCTACATACAAGTTCATATTGCATTTTTTGGGACTGAAACTGCCAGTTTGAGAGATGCTGACAGATTTTTTTGTGATTAATTGCTATAGTTTATTTTTTTTTCTGCAGCCTCCTCCTGTATTGGCACTACATCAGAGAGACCATGTCTTAACCTTACCACATAAGAGCACTAAGAATGAAGCAGTGTTATGCTGTACTCAGATGGGGCTCTTAACAACCCAGGAGAAACAACAAGTTGACAGTCAGTCTTTGACAGAATTTCATCATGTGCTTTCATAGTATGAACAATATTTTCACCTTCTACTAGCAGAAAACTAAGCTTAAGTGTTTCACCTAAAGCTAAAAAAAAATCAGAAAGGAACCACATAAAGAATTCTAGTAAGGGACACTTATATCTGACTAAACCTACCTACCTATCTGTCTGTATTTCTATCTATCTATCTATCTATCTATCTATCTATCTATCTATCTATCTATCATCTATCTATCTATCTATCTATCTATCTATCTATCTATCTCAAAAGTAATGAAAAACAATAAAGACAACAAAGCGCTCCCAACGTTAACTAAGATCACTGTACACTGGGGAACGATTCTCCCTGCTATGAAAGATGCCATGAGTTTGATTAAACTACCTAATTTTGAAACTCAAATCATTTTATATACATAGCATGGTTATCAGCAAGATGAAATACCAGGGTTGACTAATCATCAGTTTCATACAATAGGCTGCAGTGATTATGCCACAGATTTTTTTTCACTGCAGAGCTATGTAGATTTGGCATATGCTTAAAAGGTTTTCACAAGCAGCAACACATTTTGCATGTAGGAAAATAATAAATGCTCATTGGAGTCACACTGTAGATACAAGTCTGAATTTTTTACAGGTATCTTCAGAATTACCGACTGAAAAAAATTACTCACTGGTTTACAATGAAAATTTTCTAAGACACTAAGACAATCCAAACACTAACATATCCTTACAGAACATTGTACCTGCTAAGCCTTAATTAGGTACAGAAAAAATGAGAACGAAACAAAGCTACGAGTTCAGGCATCCTGCAGAGCCATTGCAAAAGTGCCTAGATGCAATAAGGATTGAAAATTAAGTCTCAACTCCTGTTCAACTCCCTGCTGCAAGCAACTTGGCTCCACACACTTCCATTTACTCTATATTACCTTGAGATTAAAGCTACAGATCCTGTATTTGATAGAGACCCCACAGGACAGCAATCCTAGAGCAACACAAGCTGCAAAGGACGTGCTGCAGACAAAACCCTACCTGTGACTCCTGCTGGCACACCATTCGATGTACTTACGCTGTACTGAGGGCTAAGCCTAAACCCACAGGTTACCACACAATGCAGAATCACATATATTACCATTATTGCAGCTTTACAACAAATCTACTCTATAAACACATAGCATATAACAGTGAATATTTCTGAAAAAAATTGATTATCAGAGTTCATTTACTTTGGCTTTTTCATTTATATTATATATCTATAACTCTTATGTATAATTTATTTTATGAAATGTCATATGAACATTTGATCCCATTTAAATATTAGTCAATATTTGCTATTAAATATTAAAACTTATTCTTAATTAAAATAAGGATTTAATTTAAAACTTATTTGCTTCTTAAATTCCTGAACCATTTGCAAATACATAAATGCACATTTAAAACTGGTAAGATACTATTTTTTTTTAAATTCATGGAGAATTATCTATAGGGAGTTTAAGAAGCAGATTATGTTAGATAAGTAAGGTATAAATCAAAATTTAACATGATAACACTTGCTACTCTGTGTTAATCCCCCCTTTCAGCTTTTCCAAAACCTCTTTTCTTCCTGTGAATGGGTTTCAACCTTATCATAAATACCCAACAGATTTATGTATCTTTTTGAGGGTTTAGAAAATGTCTCAGAAAACAGAAAATAAAATCCTGATGTCCTAACCAATTTTAAATCCACATTTGAGTGTACAAGGCTGCTCTTTTAGTAATATCTTTCTCATGTTTTGTAATTCCAACAGTTAAATTCTAACACTTAAATCCCACTGAGAGATTTGCCATATTAATACATATTAAACAAATCAACTGCAGTAAACTTATAAAACATTTACAACCTGATCATTGTCGCACAGACAAAATTTAAAATCAATATAAATACAACTATTAACCAGTATATACAGAAGGGGGTATGATGAAGTCTGAAGAATGAAGCAGGATTTCCAGTAGATCTCCAAAAGGAAACACGTGTGCATAACCAAAAACACTGAAGAATAGTGCAGTGATCTAACCTTTCAGCCTGCGCTAAACTTCTCCATCAGAACTTCACCTGTACTAACTCCTGCTTTCTATATCTGAATAGCATGTTTGATGATCTGTCATAGAGCAGAATGCTGGATGAAACACAATGAGTGTCCTTGAATTGGCAAAGAGTCAGAAAGAGAAGCCTTCAAATATGTGAGTACTATGCTATTTTTAAAATACAAGTACAAATGCTATGAAGCTAAACAAGATTTAAAGGCAATTTCTTTGGTAATTTTTTAATTTTTGGCATTGTTTTCTGAAATAAAGGGTTTTCTGCTTCTGAAAGTATTCAAGAAGAGTCAAAGAAAAATATGGCTATAAAGTGCATGATGCATTTAGCAAAGCTAATTCACCAGTGGAACCAGCCTACAACAGATCTCTCAAAATTTCTTCTTTAGAAGGAATCTCCTTAATAAAACTTTATTTTATACCCAAAATGATAGCATCTTAACAAAAGGAGAAGAGCACCCTCACAAGGAACAGCCAGAGGATGAGTGGCAGATGAACAGTTTTCTCTCAATTTTTAAATAGGATTAAAAGTAACCAAACAACAAATCTCCAACATAGCACAAATTACAGCTTTTGAAATTAAAATGACCCTACACAGCCAGAAAGGTGTAGGACTGCTGAAATTTGACAGCTATTAGCTGGAAGAAGAAATGCTGGAATTTGTACAGCTCAAATCTTCATAATAAAACAATCACCTTTAATACAGAAAAGCCTATCTGAGAAGAGCAATCACACAGGAAGGAAAGATTGCACTTTGTTACTTGTCATGCTAGAAGGTACAGGCATATTTATTTAGGAATAACAATAAAACAGCTGATGCCACTGCATTGCTATCAGCATACACTATCATTTCAGCAGCTACAAAAGACAAAAAAGTATACTAAGAAACAGAAAAGCTCACCACTTCTTCATGCCTGCATTTTCTCACATTAATTCCATTAATCTGTTGTTAAAAAGATAAAGAAAAGACTTACTCTACATTTCATAAGCATAGACTTCATTTCAGTTTTCTAGAAAAATACAGATAAAATAATTTGCAGTTTTACTCACCTGTAGAATTGCATCTCCTATAAAGAGCAAACCTGAGAGTTCCGCTGAAAACAGAAAGCATATTTTTCACTCACTTTGTACAAAACATCCAACATTTTGTGTACAAGAATTCTTATTTAATACTTTTGCAACATCTTTTAAAATTTCAAACAAAAACATGACAAAAAACCCAACAGAAAACTTCCAAATAAATTACTTGTGATTTCTTCTTTAAACCCAAAATACTTGTGTATCAGTGTTACAACAAAAGAGGCTACTGAGCTCAAGCACATGACTATGAAACTTCATCCATCAGTCACTAGCACCTTTCAGGCCATTTTGGTAAGGTGGGACATATTTTTCTGAATATAAAATGACTGCTGGACTAGATCTTATTTGCCTGTTAGAGACAATTTCTTACAAAGAGAAAAATCAACATAGAGACTCCAGGGATACTTATGAATAATAAATTTAATTTTTAGGTTTTTACATAAGATAAAGGGCCTTTAGATCTTGCATCTTTGATAAACTCTGATAAATAACAGGGACTATTAATGCTGGATAACACTTACATATACTGAAGAGCTAGAAAAACAATATATTGTAAAAAAATCAACAGCCAAAGTGAATGTTATTTTTAAAGCAAAACTGCATCACAAAGACATTTATAAAATCTAATTCTACACTTCCTATTTTTAAACACTGTGTTTCATTTCAGAGTTATCTCACTCAAATACACATTATAAGCATACCAGAAATATAACAAAGATTATTCGCTGTAAAGGCATTAATAACTTTCGAGACCATGCTAAGGGATATTAACAGATGATGTGCAATTATTACCTATAGTATTCCATATCAACATAGAAGATACTGTCTGAAAAAAGCTAGCACTGGACTTGATCCAAAAACTTTACTTATTTACATGAGCTGTAAAACTGGAATTAATATTGATGTAAATTATGGTACTCAAGTTCTTGTTTGATGGAATGGTCCTATTAGCTATATTTAACAACAGATGGTTAAATTAGTACAGGACAGATATTGTGATTTATTTTGAGGCATAGGCTTTGGGAAAAACAGCATTTTCTCTATCAAAGTTCTCTAGTCCAGGAACACAGCACGACACTTTATACATCTCAAAACAGCAGCCTCTTACAAAAGAGATGTCCTCAAAACTAGTTCTGCAAAAATCAGCAGTATTTTTATTGAAAGCAGTAATGAAAATTATATCACAGCTAGGTATTGGGCTAAAAACAATACAACAGCTACTGCAGCAAAAAAACTAATGACAGAAATAAAATTGCACTTCAGTGTGCTCAATTAAACTTAAGTATATCTTTCTTATTTTTCCTGCAGTGCTTAATAGCATTTTAATAGCTACTGCATGTAATATATGCCACGTCTTTATGTATTAGTTACATGTATACTGAAAAGACTGTAATCATAAGTATAAATTCTTAAGGTTAACCTTATTGCCTGCCTTAGGGGTTCATTCCATGCTACTCTTTATTCTTCCCAACTACAACTTTCACATCTACCTTTCAGGATTGGCTTTTGGCTCTCAATATGCTGATTATTCCATACATCTCTATCTGAATGGGTAAGAGATTTTTTTTTTTTTTTTTATACTGGCACATTTTAGTTGAGGAGAAGCTGAATTCTATAATTATTGCATTACAGATGGAGGGAAATATTTCCAAGTTTGCATTTCTGGCCTTACAGAAATACATATAAACTTAACAAAGATATTAAATACACCATATTAGTACTGGTTCACAACCTTCCTCCTTCATACTTGTGTACATCTTGAGCTGTTTAACTATTATCCATGTATCATTCCAATAATTTCAAAATCTTGCCAGTTAAATTAATACAGAAATTCAGCAACAGCTCTGTTACTATTAAAAAATATATGGACAAGACTTTATGCAGTACTCAAAGTACTCTCAATACTACCAGAGAAACCAGGTTAAAAAGTCATGCATTCTCCTGCTGTGTTACCATGATTTAAGAGCCAAATATTTAATCTAATACAGCTTCCAGGCAATAACTACTGGGAAGTCAAAGCCACTAAATCATTGCCTTTTTGTTAAATTTATTAAACATTTTAATTTTATTCATACTTTCCTATTTCTTTCCTATACTTTCTATTTATTTTCAAATACTTTCCTATTACTTTCCTAGTTGTATTTTATAAAAGAAAAAAAAAATAATTGAAGACTTTAAAAACTGTTCCAAATATCAATTCTGTACTTTTTCAGAAAAAGTTTCTGAGGAAGAGAGAGATCTAAAGACATGGGAGAGAAAGGGTTCAACAATAGCATTTGTTTAACACTGACTGAAGAATCTCAAGATTTAATACATCTTTCTTTAAAGGGAACATTAAAGTACAGTATAATAAGCTGATACCTAATACCCACCTCTTTGTTCTTTGGAAATCTTAGAAATGACCACTGGAATATTATGTTCTGCTCCACCCTGAAAACAAAATAAATGGCAATGTTTGTCAGTCACTAAAAATATCTTTTTGCTTAAAGTTATATTTTACCCTTTCTCTAAATGCAGTTTTTAGAGAGACTGAGCAAATAACTGATTCTGCACTTCCTCTTTTTTTTTAATGAATATACTGTGATTAATTCCTTATTGTCTCACATAAATAAGTTCTCAGTTGCCATCATTAGCTCAGGAAGTGAATTCAGAACTCTACCAGACTCAAAGGACATCAGTTTCTTTGAATTCTGGAGAGCCTAATGTTTGAAATGTGTCCTGTAAAAGCAAAATGGACATCCAACTATAATGGCTATCACACTGTGAACACTTAGTTTTCACGCTGGCAAGAAGGAGGTAAACAAAAGCACAAGAGAGAAGGTTTGGATTTTTCATGTCAAAAGCAGCCTTTATTTTTTTCTGTCTGTCACACAAGCACAAAGAGTGAGGAAAGCAGTGGCATAAGTAATAAGGAACAGAAAAAGAAGCATTAAGAAATCGAACAGTAGGTGTTCAATAAATGGGGAGAAATAAAGGAAAACCAGATGATAGTTTCAACAGTCGACAACAATTCAATGCTGTTGCTTCATTAAATTTATCCTGTTGGGACTGGAAATATTTATGGTGCTTAAGAACAAAGTAAAAAAAAAAGAAAAAAAAACTTAAATGAAAAGGAAATTCAAAGGAAAGTAAAGGCAAATATACAGAGAGACACAAATACTTTTTCCTCTGACAAGAGCATCAAAGCATACACTCAAATGCAAGGTGTACAAATTCAGGTCACCAGAAACCAGTGTCTGCCACACTGTTGTTTTGCCTAGGAATGGACAGGTTAAGGGTTTGCTTACTCTTCTTTTCAGCAGACAGATATTACTTTGGAAATAATTTTTAATCTGTTAAGTTGTGAAAAGGACTGACAAAAGTATTTCAATCCCTAAGGAACAGCATACATCCCTTCTTCATGCAATATCAAAGCATTTGAAACCAGACTCCTGCACTCAACACCTCTTTCTGTCATGGAATAAAGGTTAATTTCCTGTGTAGCCACAGAATGTTAAATAGGAAAAATATTCCTTTTGCTAGTGGTATCAATGCAAATGGCCCCAAAACAATGATCTAAGAGGGATCTCAGTAATATGACAACAATTATATATCTACAAGTAAAGTTCTCACATTGCATGAGATGAGTGTTGACAAGCATGGAACATATCAGTATTATAGCTTGTTGAATATCTTTCAATAGTTTTTACCAGAAGAATAGCAACAGTAAAAGCTGGCTTCACTGAAGATAATGAGTTCAAGCTCACTAAATTAATAAGTTTTAACCTATATCCTCCAAATTTTCTAGTCACATGCAAATTTAATTTCTTCAAAACTTTTCAAACAACCAGAAAAAATAACTGTGTCACTTTCTTTCTAAGCTTCCAATGTTATATACACGTTACACTACCCAGGATCCATAAAGCCCAGCAAAGAAACAGCCTGCCTGCCTCCTTAGATCTGAGGCTCCATTAAAGTAGGAAATTACTTTTATTACTAAGCCAGCCTGCAATGCACACAACATGATTATTCCTCTCTCATTGTATTGAATCTACTTAAACCCATTTACACTACAGATCTGAGGAAGCTTTCAGTGGTGTCCTACTGAAGAGAATTATCTCCTCTCATTGCATCTGAGTCTGACCTGTATGAAGGCTTCTTTTTAAACTAGTAAAAGGATGTAGTACCTGCTATGCTAAGAAACAAAAAAATCAAAACTGGAAACAGCAAGTAGTTGACCAATTATCTATACTCAGTAACTGTTAGCAATTTGTAGCAAACTGTGTATATTCTGCCAACATCTTGTTGAATACTACTTCAGGTTGACACTGCTGCCTTGCATCCTGCATTCTCCATACTTCATTCTCTGTCCTGTAGAGGAAAAAGCATATGCATGTCTAAAATCCAGTTTTACAGTCTCAGGGGACACTCTTCTGAAGAAACCTCTGGGAACAGAGGCAACTTTATCACTGCTTTAAATTTTCTCTTCCTCTAGTACAGACATGTACTTATACCGTCAGACCAGAGGATGGACAGAAATACATCAAATAGTGATGTTCAAGACTTAATGGCTCAAACCTCTATCAGACTCTAACAACGATCTTTGTCAAGCAAACTTTCTTTGTCATTTTTCCTTAAGCAGGGATAAGCCTGGAATGACAGCAGTTGCCCACCTGCAGCGGTGGTCATGCTAGAAGTGGCAGAGGAAGCTGTAATCACTGCAAGCTGTTTGAAGGTCACTGTCCTGAACGGTAGCCACTACTGGTGAGAGGTCACCCACACCTCCTTTCAAAGTGTCACATGATACACTCCTAAAGATTTTTTCTTATTCCAGTTTTTATGTGTGAGGGTTTCTTCCAAAAGTTTTTGACATATGAAAAATAACACACTTGAAACCAGTAACTTTTATTGACAAAGGCTGGGGGTTTTTGGTTCTAAGTATAACAAGGAAATTAATATTTTATCTTCTACAAAAATGGGTTTATAAAAGATCAGACCAATTGTTGGACTTTACCATCATTTGAGTTAAGACAATGTAGGAGACTATGACCTGATACCAAAAAGAAGCATTTCCACTAGAAAAAATAGCTTTAAGGTCTATGGACACTGAACTTTTTGATTAAATTGAAAAGTCAACCTGAATCTCAGAAGACCTCTGATGCTGTTCACCATTTTAAAAGAATGATCAAAACTGAGGCAGGATAATGGCAGTGTACTGAGCACTGGTTGCTAGAAGTCAGACTGTAACCAAAACTTCAATTTGTTTAATGATCAATTTTGTTGCCTATTTATTCAGGAACACCACGATCCAATTATTGAAAAATAGGATGTTCTTTCAGAAATCATACACTGAGCAGCCTCTTTTGTCAAGGCTCTGCGTCTCAAACTTGTCAGAGATATGATAAATGATTGAAATACTACACTTCCCAAATTCTGTCTATGTCCATGGCTATTCCTTCACAAACATTTAACAGAGGCTTCAGAAAAGAAAAAAATTGTTCCTGCAGAAGAGTGTAAACCAGAGTAGTTCTTCAAAGTCAATCATAGTTTCACCACTAACTTCAGCTAAGAGGTACAGCCAAACACCAGGCTTTCAAACCCTAAAAAAGTGGATTACAATCAGTTTTTTAAAGGGCTGATGTTTAGGTCTTGGACAAAAATCAACTTTACAATCATGGTTTTTCTTAAGCAGTTATCTGAATCTCTGATTTTTACAAATATAATTGGATTACCCAGTTTACAGAAGAAAAGAAGAGTTTCTCTCATAGACAGGTGAAAAAAAAATAATTAGTTTAATTTTGGAATTATTAGGAATTTGTTCTCTGCT